TCTATCTATCTATCTATCTATCTATCTGTCTGTCTGTCTGTCTGTCTGTCTGTCTGTCTGTCTGTCTGTCTGTCTATCTATCTATATATCTGTCTGTCTGTCTGTCTATCTATCTGTTTGTCTATCTATATCTAATAATTAATCAATCAATCAGTCATTCATTTTTCATTTTTCAAACTGTTTTAAACTTAAAAAATGATCACCAACAGGCTTTCTCAAGTCAGCCTCAAAGTTTGTCTTGATGAACTTTACTGTCTAATTAAATCACTACTGAAATCTGAGTTATAAACCATCAAATAGCACAGTAGTACTGGGAGAACAGTTTATAGGTCAGATATAATCACTGATGTTTATGCTGAAGATTAAAATCCCTGTTTAATGCAACTTGTCGCTTCAAATGAAGCTTGTAGCAAATACATTGAAAAACCAGTAGGTGGCGACACCCAGCCATAGAACATGTGTCACTGAATAATTCATCAAAGATTATTCATCTAGTAATGAATCATCGGGTATTTATGAGTTATGGAATCATTCATTCATTCATTGATTAAAAATTTAATTCAAAAATAAATATAATGTGTTGTTTTTGTGCAACATTATAATGTTAAATTTATTCAACAACTAAATACTGAAACATTTATCATATTTATTTAGATGGCTATTTCTTGATTTTATTCATATTAATATAACTGGTCCTATAAGTTATAGTTGTGAAGTTGTTTTGTCTCCTTGCTGGTCTGATAAAATGGCCTGATATATATGACTCAATAACCGTAACGTGACCTGAACCATGAGCTGTGTGATCTGTTGCAGCACTAAAGATGAGTGTGTTCATGTGAGTGTTGATTATGTTCACGAGTGTGTTTCTGCTTGTTGTGTGTGTGTGTGTGTGTCGCAGCCTGAGGACAACTCTGCATCCGGAGCCAAAAACGATGCTAACCGGACGAGTGGAGGAAGTGGAGGACTGATGGAGGAAATGAACGCCCTGCTGGCGCGGAGGTGAGAAGAGAACACACACTAACACACACACTATTACAACGTGTTTCTGTGGCCTTAATCTCAGCTTTGCTGCATCTCTGACTGAGAAAGCTCCACCCACTGTCAAATCAGCAGTGTTTAATGCCAGTGTAGTCCCGCCTACTGTCCCACTGGCTCCACCCACTGTCAAATCAGTTATTATTAATGCCAATATAGCCCCACCTACTGTCAAGATGGCTCCACCCTTAGTCAAATCAGCCATGATTAATGCCAAAATAGACCCACCTACTGTCACATTGGCCCCACCCACTGTCAAATTAACCCTGATTTATGTCAAAATAGACCCGCCTACTGTGCCATTGGCTTTACTCAATGTCCTGATTAATAAGCCCTGATTAAAGTCAACATAGCTCCTCCTACTGTCACACTGGTCCCTCCCACTGACAAATCAGCTCTGATTTAGGTCAGAGTAGCCCTGCCTACTGTCACACTGGCCCCACCCACTCTCAAATCAGTTTTGATTTGTCAAAATAGCCCCACCTACTGTCACACTGGCTCCACCCACTGTCAAATCGGCCTATATTAATGTCAAAATAGACCCGCCTACTGTGCCACTGGTTCCACCCACTGTCAAAATAGCTCCTCCTACTGTCACACTGGTCCCTCCCACTGACAAATCAGCTCTGATTTAAGTCAGAGTAGCCCTGCCTACTGTCACACTGGCCCCACCCACTCTCAAATTAGTTTTGATTGTCAAAATAGCCTCACCTACTGTCACACTGGCTCCACCCACTGTCAAATCAGCCTATATTAATGTCAAAATAGACCCGCCTACTGTGCCACTGGCTCCACCCACTGTCAAAATAGCTCTGCCTACAGTCACATTGGCTCTACTCATTGTCAGATCAGCCTTGATTGTCAATATAGCTCCACCTACTGTTAAACTGACTCTACCCACAATGAATTACCCCTGATTAATATAAAAAATAGCCAGGCTCCACCCACTGTTAAATCAGCCCTGATTAATGCCTATATAGCTCTGCCTACCATCACACTGGCTCCACTAACTATCAAATCAGGCCTGATTAAGGTGAAAATAGCTCCACCTACTGCTACACTGGCTCCACCCACTGTAAAGTATCCCTGTTTAATGTTAGTATAGCCCCTTCTACTGTAACACTGGCTCCACCCAATGTTAAATAAGCCCCACCCATTATTACATAAGCTCTGCCCATTGTCAAATAGACTTCACTCATGCTCCGCCCATTATCGACTTGGTCAAAATAGGTTGGGTGGGCCCAATGCGACAGTGGGCGGGGCTAAAGTGTGTGAAAACCTGGTGCATCACATCTGGTTAAGAGTATTAGGGTCTCTGTAAACTGCTCAACACATCTACACATCTCTATCTGTCCCACAGACGGAAAGCAGCAGATGAGAAGAAGGATGAGAGCCAAAACGTGAGTACAGAGCAGAGTTTTGTGTTTACTTCAGCTTGATCATCTCATCTGACTGTTGTAATACACAAAGCATGATCTTAGGGAAACACACATTTAAAAGGGGAGAATTAAAGCCTGGCTGTTTAGTCGTTACTTGCTGTAAAATATATTCATTATTAATCATGTAACTATTAAGGGTTTTGTGTGTGTGTGTGTGAGAATCTTCTGCTTGTTCTGATTCTACTGTTTTTCAGGATGATCTGAATCGTGGACAGAACGCTGCAGGTGCGACATTACAATCATCATCACTCTAACCTCTGCTGTGTGTTTAACCTGATGAGCAGTGTGTAAACCTGTGTGTGTGTGTGTGTGTGTGTGTGTGTGTGTGCAGATGGTGTGAAGAAGCCCTGGGACAGAGCAAACTCAGCCGAGAGATCATCACTGGTTTCTAGGTGAGAGAAAAACACACTCACAGACACACACACACACACACACACACACACATACACACACACACACTCACACTCACACTCACAGAGACACACACTAGCTGTGTTTCCATCCAAAGGTGTGAAATTGAATAAAGTGTGAATAAATGTAAATGTACAAAGAATTATAATATTTAAATCTGTCCCTGTGTGACTGGCAGCTCTTTCCTCTGTCAGTTTAGCCCCGCCCACTGTCAAAGTCAGGTCAGAATAGTCCCACCCCTGTCAAAATTGGGTCAAATTATCTCCACTCATTGTCAAATTCAGGTCTGTTTAGCCCCGCCCACTGCAAATGTCAGGTCAGATTAGCCCCACCCACTGTCAAAGTCAGGTCAGAATAGTTTCGCCCCTGTCAAAATTTGGTAAATTTAGTCCTGCCCATTGTCAAATTCAGATCTGTTTAGCCCCACCCACCGCAAACACCAGGTCAGATTAGTCCCACCCAGTCAAAGTCAGTTTAATTTAACCCCGCCTACTGCCAATTCAGGTATGTTTAGCCCTGTCCACTTCCAACATCAGGTCAGATTAGCCCCACCTCTGTCAAAGTAAGGTTAATTTAGCCCTGCCCACTGTCAAAGTCAGGTCAGAATAGTCCCACTCCTGTCAAAAT